CCCAGGAGCTTGGTCTGCCAGAGCCCCCCAAACGACCCGTGACTCCATACATACGCTTTGTGAATGCTAATCGCCAGGAGATCAAGAAAAAATTTCCTCAACTCACTGCACCTCGTAAGGTTCATTTCAATTTTCCAATTGACTCTTCAGTATCCAATATTTTGTATACTTAGAATTAAAATTCAGTGTGTGATATGTTCTATATATTTTACAATGCTTGATTATATTGCTCTCAGTTTAACAAGTTGCAGAAAGGTTAGATAGTTCTTGTAAAATGCACATATAATATCCCAGTTTACAGTACCTGGCAAACCTTTAACGAAAATGGCACCAGGGTTGTAAGTGTATTTTAGTGTCCTGTACAATAAATCTGTTATATAAATTCTTTCAGAGTTGACGGCAAAATTAGCATCTGTGTGGAATGAACTCGGTTTGCCAGAAAAGAGCAAATGGTCTCTACTTTACACTAAAGACAAAGAAACTTATGATGAAAAGTAAGTTCATAGTTCTGTTAGAAGTATACATAATAGCTGGTCTGTATAATGCATATTATAATGTACTAAATAACAAAAGTAATTTGCCAAAATTTCTTTAGGAGATGTAGAATTTAGTGATGAACCATAAGCTGAAGTAAATCTTGTCCTTCTTTTGTACATTGGATGTTTACATCAGGTTACAAATTTCACCCATCCAATTATTGGCACTTGTCAATAAAGTGGAAAAAATGTTTTACGAATTTAACATATATTTATGTAACTTAAGAAGACTACACTGACTGCAGTGTGAAATGTAATTAAGGCATGAATAGCTTGCAAATTCATTAGAAAGTGGTAGTAATTGAGAAGAATTCATATGGTTAGTCCTGTTCATTACAGATAAGAATTGTTTGTTAAGTTCATATGAATGAATACATGAGATAGTTATAATTTCCAAATTTGTTTATTTATTTACATATTTGAATAATATTTGCAAAAAGTATTCTTGAATGTTCTTTATCACTTCAAAATTAATGAATATACATTTGTTTTTTTCTTAATCTCTCTCTCTCAAAAGATACAAGGAGTACATGAAGAAGCTTACACCACAACAGATTGAAAGCATGAAAGATCTGAAACGAAAAAGATCTCAAGACAAGTTGAAACGCCAGATCAGGAGGGACAAGAAGAAAGAAACGGAAGAACTGGGAAAACCGAAGCACCCGGGTAATGCCTTCACTTTGTACCTCCTCTCCTTAGACAGAGGGGACGCTCCTCTCAAGGTAAGGGTTTTCTGTCTTCAAGATTTGGCTTGATTTTTGTGCTCAAGATTTCATGTGTAAGTGTGGGTATGGGATTGGGAATAGGTATGGATGTGGGAAGATTTGTATAGGCAATGTTGTCTTGGTTGTTAATGTTTTGCTATATGACAAGCAATGCATGAGGGATGCACAGAATGAATGTGTGAATAGATAGATAATTAAAAGAATACGATTGCAATGCATAAAAGATCTATGAGGATAATTCTATAAGGAGTCATTTTTTTGATAGGATAGGTAACTGTGTTACCTTTCAGGAATTCCTTGCTGGTGCTGCAAGCAGATGGCGTCGTTTGCCAGAGGAGGAACAAGAGGTATTCCGCGAGAGGGCAAAAAAACATAGGGAACAATATGAACAAGAACTTAGACACTGGGAAGCCAAGTAAGTATATTATTATTATTATTTATCATGTTGTCTTTGATTGTGATTTTTATGAGTTATCCTATGGATAATCATTTGATGTGCTTGTGTGTAAGTTTACAATTGCTTGCTAAAATGTGATAATGCATTGCATTTCACTTAGGGGATTGTATACCAACTTTTTTGGCATACATCCTCCACCTTGCCGATTTTGAGTTATATGCTTTCCAAAGAGTTTCAGGGCCACCAAATCTCCCCTGAAATTTTTAAGGCCCATCCGCAATTTCTAAGGTGGTAGCAATCACTTTCGATGTCCACCAAAATATTGTGAATTGCTACCTAACCATAGAAAATCGGAATTGTGACATAACAATTCGATAAAATAAAAAGATGAAATTATATTCAGGAAGCTTATGAAATTTTGCATATGGGACCACCCTTAATTTTTTTTGAGTAATCTATGAAATCTGGGAAGCTTTCTAAAAAAAATAATAATAATGAAGAATTTATGTATACAAATAAATAAGAATGATATGCTGTTCATATAGAGTATCTCATTTTTATGTTTTAATCATATTCTGTCAGTTTTATCTTTCAGAACAATTTTGTATGTACAGACCCCCTCCCCCCCAAAATGGCAGTAGATTTGCCAAATGATCCGGATCACCACCAAAATTTAATAGGATGTAAATTAGGCTCATTAAAATCTGTTCATAACTTTTTGAGTTCGAGAAAAAAATCTGGTATCCAAAAAATCACAATATTTCTGTACAGTACATTTTTTATGTGTAGCACACACATTTAAGTCCAAAATGTGATGTGGCTCATTTTGAAGCTGATGAATAGTAGATCTGTCCAGTGATACAATTAGCTGCTGCTTTTATGGTGCTGTAAAAGTCGTCCACGTAAAAAAAAAAAAAAAAAAAAAAAGTATCCTCAGTAAGGCTCCAAACCCTCTAGGAAAAACAAATTTAGTTCAAAGTAAACGTGTTTTGTAGAAAATAAAATACCTTGAGAATGTGTAGCACTTTTATCCATTTTTTCCCGTGATTCTTGTAAAAGTGGCAATATTTTTCATTTATTTTTTTTTTTTTTTTTTTTTTTTTTTATTTTTTTTTTTTTTTTTTTTTTTTTTTTTTTTTTTTTTTTTTTGCTGTTTGATTTTAATTTTTTGGTTTGCGTGTTTTTCAGTTTTTTTTTTTTATATAACTCAAAAACTATTTGGGTAATTTCAATAAAAATCGTCCTCAGGGATCTCACTAAGGTCTATATAAAAGGGTGTGCGTTTCATCAAAATCAGCAAACGAAAAAAAAAAGTAGACCCCCTTAAGTGACTTTTATGATTTTCAGTTATATTTTGTAATGCATTTTATTTTAAAATATATTAATGTATGAGCTTACTTTTACTTCATTTAGTCATGTTTTTCTCTATATACAAAATGCCGATATAGATATGAACACAAGCTTAATCCATAAACACAAAATTACAAGTTCTGTAAAACAATCACATAGCATATGAATAAAAGAATGATGCAGTTGGAAATGTCTACATATAGACAATTTTAATCAGCCTTCACATTAATAATTGATTAGACTCGAATATGCAATGTTGAGTTACGCATCCTGACATTTCAAAATTGTATTTGTATTAATATGTTTTGAAAATATATATTGGACCTCTCTAATAAATAAGGCAGTAGAGAATTCACATCTGATGCATCTACAGATATAATAACTAAAAGACATACTGATTACATGAACTTGTGTATTTTCATGTACATTTCAGAATGATCAAAAGTGGAAGGGCAGATTTAGTGCGTCGACACCAGCAGCTGGAAGATCTGAAGCACACTGCCACTCACCGTCGGCACATTCGAGAATAGGGATTCGCATCAGGTGATGCTAAGGGAGAGTCAGGGGTTCTGGACAGATCTCCAAAGAAACGGAAGAAACAAGACCAGAAGAAGTTAGCAGTTAGTCAGAATGTAGTCAGAGAAGAATGTGCTTTGGTAGATGAAGAAAATACCAAGAAAAAGGAATATCTGAGCAGCTCTGCTAATGGAAGAATTGAAGAGGTGAATGTAAACCAGAGAGAAGTGAAAGTTACTGTAAAGATTGATCCATCAGAAGGAGAAACCAAAAGTGATTGTCAAAAATCAATTCCTGAATCCGTAAGTCTTCCCTCTAGCATTGAGACTATGGAAAAAGATAAGATTTTTGCCTCAGGAAAAGCTGATAGTTATAATAATGATCACTTAGACTCTGGGCTCTTCCCAGAATCACCTGAATGTCAGAGAAATGTCCAGGTTATGAAACCAGGAATCTTTTTGAAGCCGTCAATTGTGACTACAGAATCTAATAGAAGTCAGGAGTTGGTAGAACATAACAGTTTTGATTTAAGTTGTAAGCAGTTACCAGTGAAGAAGTGTATTGAAGCTGTAAATGTTGAAATTGTCTCTGATGGGAAACTTGAAAAGCTTGCTTCAAGAGTACAAGATAAGCCAGACAGTCAATTAGGAATAAAATCAGCCATCATACATGTAAATAAATATCCATTAAACCATTTTCATACAAATTATTTACACAAAGAGAGTATGTATCATCAAGACCATTCGCATTCTGTGCTTAGTCCACAGTCAATAAATATTGCTATACTGCCTGGTAATGAACATTCAAGAGATTTAAACAAATGTACAAGCAGTCTTTCTCCAGTGTCATCTGCTCCAGAAATAGCATCAGATGTTCTTATTCTTGAAGGCAAGGATTCAAGCACTGATCATGTTGAGAAAGGTAAACCTCATGTGCAGTTACCCTACAGAATGCATGAAGCCCTTAACTTTGGCTTAAGAGAAAATGAGGATGGTGTCCCAGAAGATAGCCTTGTACTTAATTTCACAAACATTGGTGACCATCAGCACTTTCAAAGACTTGGTTATTCTACAGAGAACCTTGAATTAAATGAGAGAGTGGGTAGCCTTCCTGAATTGGATGAACCTCTTCAGAAGGGTAGTTACCTCTCCCCTGAAGCTGTCATTGCTTTTCAGCTTAACATGCCTTATCTGCAAGGATTAGAAGAGCTGTTTCACCATCCTTTACTTTCTCTGATGATCGATCAAGAACTTCCATTTGATCTTTGCAGCAGCTTTCACCTCTGGAATGCTTTTCGTGTTTTTATTGCTGGTTTTGTTATGTATTTTTGGATTAATTAAATGTAAATAACATTTTATGAATTTTTATTTGAATAAATTACTGAAATGTAGTATCACTTCTGTTTTAAAACCAAAACAATTATTGCTTGATTTTTCTATTGCTATATTTTCCTTATTTTTTTTATATAGTAGCTACTATTTGTCTCACGTAAGTATATGAATGTTATATTTAGTTTTTTTTTTTTTTTTATAAGAACACTACTACTATTTTTATTTACTTGTATACTTATTGGTTCATTAATAAATTAACTCGGTAGTAGTATTGTATTTTCAACATTTTCATTAGTTATTCTGAAAAAGGTATCCATCATTTAACCCCTTGCCAAGCAGTGCAAGACACACTTTCTGGGGAGCATGTACACCCATGCCATACAACTGGAGCCTGTTGTCAGTTGTGTGTTCTAAAAAGATGATCACATTTATGGTCACAACTGCAGTGGCTGAGGATTAGCCTCTCAAATCTAGGCATAAAGCCCCTTTTTAGCCTTCTTCCCTGGAAAATCATGCATGCTTTATCTAAAATCTTAGGGAGAGTAGAACTCTTAAATTTCCTTTGCTTCTAATTTTTCCTTTAAGCAGCTGACTGCACACGGCACCTGACACAAAATCCAATGTGGCGTGTGAAGCATGTCAGCATTTGAAATGCACTGATCTCCAGATTTTTTAGAATTGATTTTTCTTCATGAAAAGTTCGTAAGTGTATAATAACTACTTTTTGACAGTAACTTTCAAGTTTTTGATTGACTGACCACTTATGAATTACTCACCACTTTTAATAGTCATGATCATTTGTTGCAGTGACCCAGAATTTTTTTTCATTGTTTGGTGCCACATTTTAAACTAGTTCATGAGGTTTGAGTATGTTTTTTAATTACTGCTTCTGTTAGTATCTGATGCTACTTCTGACAGGATGATATATTTAGTAGTAGATATGAGAAGTCTTTATATATATATATTTATATATATATATAGTTTTGTCATTTTTTTATTTCTAATATTGCTAGGTCTGCACAGTTCATGGATGAATACGTAAGTAATCAAAGACATTTACAGGCTTATTATATTGGTAAAATTATCCATAGAAACTATTTTGTGTAATAGTTTTACTTTTTCACACTACCACTATCACAAATATTGCAGTATATTAATCTGAAGCCTCCAGGGATAGCATGTACGTGCATACCATACTCACTGAATTTAATTTGTTGTTTTTACCCGTAGATGGCTCCACAAGTACAAAGTCAGTAATGAGCCTATTACAAGTACTATATATCCTTGATTTAAAAAAATATTTTCTGGTATCTTATATTGCTGTTGTTAATGTCAATAAAAATATAATAATATTGCCTATAATAAAAACAACTGCATCAAATACAGTTTTCCCGCAAACTCAAGGAAAGGTGAAGTCAGATAGGGCACAAGATCTACTAATTTATTTTTTTAGTGGATAAGACCTTGCAGAGCCATCTATGTACAGAGACATTTCACAAAACAGTATTATAGTGAATACATTTTCCAAGCAATGTTGGTTTAATGACTATTGTACATGATAGTTAATGTAGCAAGTAGAACTAATAACTCTCAGTATCTAACAGTCCCTGTTGAAAAAGTAATTATCTTAGCCTTATTTACCAATATTTAAATAAAGTAAAGTAATTATATTCTTTTACTTGCATTTTCTAAATAAATAGCAACTAGTAATGTAATTTTCTATACTTCACAAATTTGGATAATTTTCATAGTTTCTGATATTTTTTTATTTTCCATTAGCTTTACTTTTAGTGCTGTCCTGATTGACTTTTGTGTTACATGGGGGGAAAAAAGAGAGTATTGTTTTTAATACTAGAAAAAAATATTTTAAAACAATTCTTCTATTAGTAATTGCATCACATTTTAAACTAAAGATCAAAACACACATAAAATTTGTCACACAGGACTGAAAGCCTATCACAGATGTAGCATCTATATAGAAATTAAATGTTTCATATACAGGACAGGAAAACATGGAAGAATAGTTTTTTGTTTATAGGATAAGACATATTAGTAGAATATATGAATGAAACTTATTTCCAAATACAGGACATATGATGCATGTTTTTATTTATATCTGAATTACATATTTCTGAAGCTGCAAAATTATTTTCAGTTACGTTACCTATCTTGCCTTCTCATTCGTATCTTCTACACTGATCATAATGAACTGACAATAGATAGAATTATTTGTGGGATTTTTTATGCCGTCATTACATCAGGTGGAATAGCAAGATTTTGGTGGCATGGCTTTACTCAGATTCACTAATTTGGTATATAACAGAATAAGTAAGATGTCAACTTCTGTGTAACTAAACATCTAAATTTAGACATTGCATTCTTTGTGAATATTTTTTTGTGTTACATTATTCATGCCTTATGGAAAGATCTCAGGAAAAAAAGATGCTGATAACTTTCTAAGTACTTAGATAAAAGGTATGGCTAGAAATAAAAGTCAAGACAATTGTTGCCTTACTACAAGACCCGATGGTTGGTCAACTGGACAAATGATTACCCCCCCCCCCCAAATGCAGCATATTCTGAGTGTAAAATGTTTGTAGTAAGTATTGTGATACCTTGTAACTTCTTGTATAGTTTTGTATTGAAAAGAATATTCGTTTTGAAATACTAAAGCTTAGGTTTGCAGCCTTGTAGATGTAACTAATCAGTTGTCATTCCTAGCATCATTTAGTTAGAGATTATGAAATATCCATAATGATTGCTTCCTTTCCTATCCAAAGGAGAAATGGACATCTGCTATTTAGGGCAAGTGTAATACTTTTGCAGTTTGTACAATTTACTTGAAGTACTCTTAGTATAGCAGTAACAATTCTATTTATATATAATTCCCCTTATATAATAGCCTCCTATTTTCCTGAAATGCTTGTTTGTAATTGATGTTTTTATTTTCTATAAAAATAATGAATAGCAAAACAAACCCCTCCCCTCCAATGTAAAAAACAGAAATGTAGATTAGTTAAAAATTTTCCTTACGAATTTGAGGAAGAATGCAATGATATTTTTTGGCTAAAATAATAAATATAATAATTGTGAATCAGCATTAACTAAGTAATATCTCATGTGGTCCAGTTAGTATTTCTCAATACTACAAATGTGTGAGGATCTTCATGCAGCTTCTTCAGCTGTATTATCATATAGTAAGAAACACACATTATTGAGATGAGAGTGATGTGGCAAAGTGATGTATAAATCCATTTTAATCTTGTCCTTATTCATTCCTTCAATTCCCATATGATCCTCTCGGGAAAAGCATAATGAAATAGCAGTTTGCAGTGTCTCATCTCCAAACAATAAAAGAATTAGGCAAGCTTTGTTGAGGGCCTTCACTTTGAAAATAATAGTGTTTATTAGTGCATTCTGCATATACAGTCAGTCTTTCTTCATATTAAAATGTAAATGAGTCATTAATTGCAAAAATAGTCCATTAATCTGAATTTGTTTTAGGCCTGTGTCACCTTGCAGGACATTTTATTACTCTTGCCATGCTGGATACCTTTCCAACTTCTAAATATTATATGTAGCTTCTTCAGCATCTAGCTAGTGTATTATCTGAACAATCCAAATGTAAAGAAGCATGATGATGGTTAATGGTTAATGGTTAAAAGCAAAATAAATATGTTAGACATCTAAGGTCATATAGCACTATAGGAACGTATAGTAAAGGGTGATGTCAGGTGATAGTTGCTATGCATCAACTATCTAGAGTAATGTTGGAAAGTTGAAGATGGGTAAGGGGATTGATGAGGGAAAGGGTTATGGTGGTTTAGGTAAGGGAATTAGATCAAGTGAAGGATATTTATGTCTGTGGAAGGAGAACAGGTTATAAGAAGCAAGGATATGATGTAGGTCTGGTCTGTGAGAATGGAAACCGCGAATATTCCAATGTAGGAGAGCTATATCTTAGTTATTTTATGAGTGAAAATGCCAGTGCATGTTGGGGAATATGGGGGGAAGGAGCTAGGGGGTGTAAAGGAGGGGTATCAGGAGGTAGGGAATCTGGGGAAGGGCATTGTCGTGACATGAGTGATTCCCATGCGAGTAAGTCTTCTCCACAATCTAACCAATCTTTGGTATCGACTGGGCAGTTTGCTGGGGAGATAGAGACAGTTTGGGTACAAGTATTAAGAGTTGGATGAGGTTCTGCAGGGATGGGGTTGCCAGAGATCAATTAGTTTTGATAATACTATGGCTTCAGCTTCAGATCTGACTGTTACGAGACGGGAGCGATCGCGTCGGGAACGGAAAGGGACTCTGCCTACATGTTTTTTGAGACATTGTTGGAAGAGAAGAGTGTTACCTGAGTAAGGAGCTGTAGGGGGGGGGGGGGATAACAAAAAATCAGTCCCATTTAGCTGGGCTAAATAGAGTAGTTAAGATATTTGAAGGGTTGGTGGTGGTAGAAGGACGGGGGCATGTGGAAGCTGGAGTATTGTTGAGGGGGGTAGTATTATGGAGAGATGGAGAATAAGGCTAAGGTAGTAATAAGGGAGGTTGGGGTGTTTGATGAAGAAGGTTGTAAGGGTAGAGTTGATGATTTTGAGGAAGTTGGGAGAGTACGAATGTCTTCTGGAGATTGAGTCTCTGCTTGGGTGGATAATGCACTAGTAGGCATTGAGGAGTGGATAGTAGTTTCAGTGTCCAGAGTCGTGGTCAAAGGAGAGCCTGGGGTCGGGGAGCCGGTGTGGCTATTTGATGAAGGAGCAAGACTCATTGCCCCTAATAGGGGTATTACATCTTCATTACTGGCCATGGGAAGCCTTGATTATGAAAAGGGACATAAATAGTCCACCCCCCAGTGCCCTGTAGGGGGTAAGGGCTAGACAATTAAATCAGAGGAGTACCGTGCCCATGGTTCCCGCAGGCAATTCAGGACTGGCACGAGGTCAGCCTTTCATCCTTTCAGCACAGCTCTTACACCTTAGCAAGTAGATAGTAGAAGGGGTTGGAGAAGGGACGGAAACAAAAAGCTGGAAGGGGAAAAGACCATGCAAAATTAGTTGAGTCAAGGGCTGAGGCCCTGGGCAGGGAAGATCCCTGCATTGGGTCTCAGTCTCCGTCTCCAAAGCCCCCGCATGACAACAACGG